ATAATTGCATTGGACCACACAAATTCTATCTGATAATTGAATATTTGTCTCAAAATTCTTAAGGCCAAAGACTGAAATTGTTAATGTATTTACATATGATGTAAAATACCAAAGAAAGGTATGAATCTTGTATTTTTTAACTATGAGAAATTACTCAATTTTCAATTTTATCTCAACAATCTAAGCATACCTTTTTCTCATCTGTTTTTCATTCCCTAACATGTAAATTTATGAATGTATGAATGTGATATTGGTCAATTTAAGGCCTCGGCAAAGCTAATTTAAGATGACTGACCCCTAAAATTCATAGTTGACTTGATTGCATGCCACCCGCGGCCCGGCCCGACACGACAGCCCGCGGGCTGTGCCAAGCCCAGCATGATGGTATGTGTCGTGTCGGGCCTAGGGTTTTAGGTTTATGGGCCAAGCCGGCACAATACAACCAAGCAGGCCATGCTGCCCGTGGTCTATGTGTCAGCACGGCCCAGTATGGCCAATATATACTATTTATATATATATATAATATATTATATATTATATAAATTTATAATTATATAATAATATATAGTATATAATATATTAATAAAATAAATAATTTTTTTCAACTTTATTATACTAATTTATTTAATTATTGTATATATAAACAATTGTATACATTAAAATTCATATAAAATTAAAATTTTAGTTTTTTTTTCAATTTTTTTAAATAAATAGACAAAAATAACTTTGACCCGGTCCATGGCCTGGCTTGGGCCAAGGCTTGGCCCACAGGCTAGCCTGGCCTACGGCACGGCACAACATGACATGGGCCCACGCGGGTTTGAGCTGTGGACCATGACGGGTTGACCCCAAACTATTCACTGGGGAGGACGGCATGGGTCATGACGGCCCACAAGCCATGCCATACTGACCCGACACGACCTACTTTACACCTCTACTTGAAAGAAATAACCATTTCTATGAAAAAATTCTAGGACAAGAAATATTATCCTTAGGATTAACTAGGTTAAAATTTAATTGAAGAAAAGCAATACATGGAAGTAGGATGATATTGATATATCGTTTCAGAACCAATTCCAACTATATAAATTAATTTCTACAGGCCATGCTATGAGATTCTGCTATGACCTCCCTTATCATTCATGCAATTGCAAAATTAGCTACGCATTTCGAAGAATTTTGACTACAATGAGTTGGGTGTCATTCTGGCCCCTTACAGAATTCTGACCCCTTTATCCAATTCATATAGGGGCGGAGCCAAGTATATTGGTGGGGTCCTTGCCACCTGCCCTTCCAAATTTTTTGTTGGAACCATTATTTATATGATTACTAAGCGGAGGCTGGGTTAAATATATAATAAAGTGGGTCCTTGACCCCCGAAAACTTAAAATGAAATGTAAAGATCATTCTCTAATGCTCCTCTAACTCCTAAAATTAAAAAATATATATATATTTAATTTTTGTTTTAAAAAATTTATAATAAATCAAAACCTTCTAGGACCATTTTCCCCAAATCCTACTTCTTCTACCCCTATCTCATTTTCTTGTTTAATTCCCTCCCCCCACCATGCCAAAAGACAATTCCCGAACTGAATCTATCCATCTGCCTCCACTTTGAATCAGGTCCAGGAGAGAACCCTTGAATAAGGGTGTTTACGGGTTGGGTTGGGTCGGTTTTTTGAGATTTTCCCAACCGACCTATTGATAGGCCAAACCGACCTGGTCGGGTTAGCTAAGGTGGGAACCAAAACCGACCCATTGATAGGCCAAACCGACCTAGTCGGTTTGAGTCGGATTGGGTCGGTTTGAGTCGGTTTCGGTTTTGCTCATGTACAAAGCCAAATAAAATCTGAATTAGTTGATAATTTGATATTCAATAGTCCAAGATAAATCTAAATTTAATTCAGGTAAAGAATAAAATCAATAAATTCTTCATGTAAAAACAAGTGTCAATAATGGGCCTTCTAGAGTAAAAAACTAGGTACATCTAGGTAGGTAAATCAATAAAATAAAAATTTAGAAACCTTCTAAATTCTAATCTAGGTAAAAAACTAAAAAAAGACCCCTAATTGAATTCTAAGTGTAATTGCCCAATGGTCCTTCTAGAGTTCTAGTTCTAGTAGAAGTCTAAAAGTAGAAGATTATTAGGAATTATGAAACTATTCAAACTAGGAAGTAGGAACTACCAAACTAGTAGAATACTAGTTCGGTTCGGGTCGGGTTGATTTCGGTTTTCACGCAAGAAAACCGAAACCGACCCGAGATTTCGGTTTATGTATGTGCCCAACCCGAAACCGACCGGTACGGATGAAAACCTGGCCGACTCGGGTTGGGTCGGTCCGGGTTGGTCAGTTTGGTCGGGTTGGGCATTCTTATGAACAGCCCTACCCTTGAATTAAAAGGCTACAGATTACAACATCCCTAAATGGAGAATTCAGATTAATGGGCCCCACTGTAAAAGATGAACAGCTAAAGCGTTTAGCTAAACCTTATCATTGGTTCCATAGCCTGTTGAACAACTAAAGTGTTTAGCTAAACCTTGCTCCTAAGTGGAAGCATACAAAGAACAAAGAAAAGGAGGTGATCCTCAAGGCTCAGTTTGTAAGGAGTACAAATACAAATGTGTTGAATGCAAAACCTTGTATTTTGTATCTATTTGTACTGTACATATTTGTATTTGTACAATTGCAATCCTTCCAAAGTAAGCCCAAAAGGAAAATGACATGGAAACCACTTCATTTGGTGATAGTTGCTAAGCCCATTTATTCGGTGGGTCATCCATGTTTTTCATCAAGGTTTTTAAAACCGAATCAGACAACTAATTGTTCAGGGGTCCAGTTCCCGGGTCGAATGGTCCGACCAATCGAACTGAACAGATGGCCCGTTTTGACAAAAGAAATAAAAAATTAAAAAAAAATAATAAAAAATAGCCAAAAAACCGTTCAAACGGTTCAACTTCCCAGGTCAGCGGTTTACTGACTAAATCAATGGTTTTTGGCCAAGAAGACAATTCTAGGGTAAAACAAAACCAGTCAAGTGATCGATTTATGATTTTTCTGATCCGACCATCCGGTCCAGTCCGGTTTTGAAAACTATGCTTTTCATATATTCATCGTCCATATCAGAGCTCTACCCTAGTAGCACTAGTCTTCTCATTCGAGGAATGCTAGAAGACAAAAAGTCGGAAACATCTTTTCCCCAAATGGGTTCTCACCTTGTCTACAGGGCCAACAAACCAAGAGTCGATTAACCCAAGGATGAATAAGGGTGGTGAAACGCATTCAGCATTCATCCATCTTGGCATGTAAAAGATTCTAGACATCTTGGTTAAGGCTAAAACTAGACAGTGGGACTGTTAAAATTGGGAACCGGTTGCCTTTCCAAGTTTTGATTAAATGATGGTTATAGCATATCTTTCATAGGTTGAAGGGGAACTGCCTGATTAATCGGTAAAATTGGGACCTATGGGGCATTCCAGTTTCTATTCTAATTAGACCTGGCAATTGGGTTGGGTGGGTTGGGTTCGGGTTGGGTTAATGTACTTTGGGTTGGTTTCAGGTCGGGTTGAATTTTGGGTTGGATTGTCAAATGCTAGACCCTAACCCTAAATGTTCGGGTTAGGGTTGACCTATTGATCAATTCGGGTCATCCCAAAAAATAATTGAAATTTAAAAAAATAAAGAAAAATTACATGAAAAATGTCAAAATTAAAAGAATTAACCTTAAAATTCTAAATATAAAATAAAAAACTTGAACATTTAACAATTTAAAGAGTAAATAATAAAAAGTAAAGACTAAATAGAAAAAATTAAAGAGTGGAAACTTCTAACAATTTATAAATAATCTCAACTAGACTTGACAATCGGGTCAATGGGTTGACCATGACCCAACCCAACCCGTTTTTTTTCAAATCAGGTCAGGTTGGGTCATTTCCATATTAGGTAGTTAAATATGAAACCCTAACCCTGTTTTTTCGGGTTTGACTAGATCGGGTTCGCAATTTAGATCAACTTTTTGCCAAGTCTAATTCTAATTCGAATCGAGTCTAAATCTGTTCCTCACATAATGCTCTTTGCACCAACCTCGTAACACGTCCTAAGTGCATATGGGGAACATCTCCCATGCTTGTGTGTTTTTATTCATGAGAGATGTTCTCAATACCTGGTGGGATGCGCCGGTTTGAGGTGCGCTCTATCGATAGTAAATCCCGAATCGTCAAAATATTAAAACATTGAGTCAAATCCCAACTATTGACCTTAGAATCTATTCTTTGCATGGGATACATCGGAGTTGTTTGATACATAAAAAGAACCTTTTTGCTATTGTAATAAATAAAAATAATAATATTTTTATAGTTCAGTTGGTTAGAACACCCGTTTAGTAAGCGGAAGGTCTTGAGTTCGGATCTCAATGAAAGCAATTTATCTTTTGATTTTTGGGGTCAAGCTATCCCAGTATTGTGTAACCCCTCCTAGATCCATCAAAAAATATGGTAAAAGACTTAAACCTCTCCTAAGATTTCACCTAAACATCCCCTAATTTTTTAAATTTGACTTAAACCTCTCCTAACAAAAACCTCCCATCCATCAACCCTCTATCCACCTTTGTCAGCATGTTGATTTAATTTTTTTAAATCTCAATTTTGCCCTTAATATCTCTTTGATGAGATGGATAAAAAGACTCTTACATCCATTATTGTTCTTCAAACTGAGCCTAATGTTCTCATGACCCACTACAAAAATGTAATTAATTTGAAGAGGAATTATTAAAAGAACCTCGATCCGATCCACCACTGAAACACAGACAGGTCAGTAATGAAAATAAATTCAAAGAGCGTCACAAATAAGTTCAACCAATGGGCTGGGCCTTTTGATTTTGGGCTTGATGCAGTCGAATAGTAGAGAGGGCATTTGAGTTTGGGCAGGTCTGAGACCAGAGGCATGGGATACGTTCAAGTTTGACTTAACGGGCTGGGCCTGAGTTGATTTCAGTCCGGAATAGATATAAAATTAGAAATGTATTGTAGCAGAATAGGAAAAGTCTTCTTACTGGTCACTCAAAGTAAAGAAAAAAAGGCCTTTGAAGTGAAAATAATAATTTGTTTTTCTAATTGGGAAAAAACACCTTGAAATGTCCATTTAACTAATGTGCGCCAAGTTGTTATGTGGCCTCTTCCACCCTTGAACAATGCTTTCCATCTCCATCTTCAATAGCGGAATTCTTGTCAACTGTTTGTTCCTTGCTCTTTGCCCACAAGACGCTATAAAGACCTCCAAGCAAGAAAATTGCACCCAAAACACTACAACCAATAACAATGCTAATTCGGTTAGACAAATTATATCTAATCGGTTGAAGTTGGCCTAAAGTTCAAATTCTCTAATAAGACTCCATCAACCAAATTAAACCACCTTCCCAAACTGATTAGTTCGCCTAAAAGGAAATATGAGCAAAAGACTGTAGTCATCAGGCCTACAGGATTCAACATGACTAAGAACACTGGTCCCTTTTTCTCAATGCACCAGCTCTGCAAGTAGTAAGCAAATCCAGTAACAACAATTCCCTGAAAACAGAAAATAAAGTGAAAGAAAAAGATTAGCAGCTAGAAATGGAAACGGGATTTCCTGGAAAAAAAAAAAACGTACAAACACTTTGAGAGCTCTGTTCCCAGTCATACATCAGGAACTATCTTCCCATGAATTTAACATATATGAATAGGAGATATTCTTAATATATAGATAGCTGGATGCCATGTTCTTAAGGTGTTTGTATGGTTTTTGCTTTTAGGAGATCTGGGACTCCTAAAAATGATTATAGAGCTTTGTTTTCATGAAAAGAAAAACATCATCATATATATAGGGTTGACTACATGAATCCTGTTTCACCATTCTGCTCTATTGAGTACCATTTCCATCCGCTAAATTATGGATGCTTAAATCCTTTCTTATTATTTCCACCTTTATGCAAAATAAATAAATAATTCTCTTAGTATTTTTCTGATTAATGAAATTAGTTAAACTAATTTAGGTAATTTATAGTATAATCAATAGGTAATTAACATGGGAGGTCCTATAACAATGGCGATTAAAATGCACATATATTCATTTAAAAACAGGTAAAATAGTTTAATAAAAAGTAGTCGAGCAAAAGAAAGTTCACAAAAGAGTTTGTGAATTGGTTACAGTCTTACAGAGTATGACACAGCAAGAAGTCGGACGTCCCAATGCAGCTGCCACTGACTAAGCTTTCTCTCTATACAAATGGCAACAACAAATGACTGAATGGAGCCTAGAAAGCATGTTAGAGTTGTGAATAGAAACTTTGAAGGGTAGTCTTTCAAAATTCGGTCCTGTCTCCAAGCAAACAACATACATGGTTAGACATTGAGGCTGCATTTGGTTGCTTGTAAAATTAAAGAAAACAAAAGATTTCCATGGAAAATGTTTTCCAATTGGAAAGCAAAGTTGAAAGTAACAGGCAATGTTATTATACTCTCTCTCTCTTTTTTTTTTTTTTTTGGTGGGGTAGGGGGGTATGTGTGTCACAACCATTTCAGGTGCAGCTGAATATGATAAATCATCATCTGTTTTCCTTCATTTTACAATCAAGATGTAGCATAAATCACTAAAGCAATAAGCACAAATTAATAAAAGAAATGACTAGGGAGGGTGTTTATTACAGTTGCATTGCATTGTTGCATTTTGGGTTGATCAATGCAAATTTGTGAGAAATATGCATTGCCATATCATAATATGAACATCATTTCAACTAGAAAAAATGCATTTTACCTATAAATAACAATTTGTATTGATCAACTCGAAATGTTTTCAAAACATTTTAAGTAGAAAAATCTCTCTTATTCAAATTTGTATTGATCAACCCAAGGTTCTAAATATTCATACGCTTGATACGTTGGCAGGGGTGTATGGGGCAGTATCAGTACTTTTTTTTAACTTTTTTTCAAATTCGGTTCAGGGGGCGATTTAAGGTTCCTCCACCCCCTGAACTGGTCAAAACCCCGATACACCCTCTGTAGGGGCATATCGGGGTGCTCCTGACACAGGCTGATACGGGTCGAATTTTTGAACCTTGGATCAACCCAAAATGCAAGGCCGCTATATGTACCAAAAACCTCCTAGATAATAGAACGAAATACCTGCAATACAAGCCACAAAGCCCAGGTGATATTGGCAAAGAGAATGATGAAACAACCTTTTAACCAATTCTTGGTTGTGTGGGAAATAGATAAATCTTCTTCACTGATATCATGTTCCAAGAGCTGAGTATTGATCAAGGGTTTCAAATGCGGGCCCTTGTAGAAAGCAAGTGTTACGGCACCGGCCATACAAAGCATGATACCTAACACTTTGGCATTTCCTGCAAAGCTCCTCAACTTAACGGTTTCCACCCTGTAAACAAAACTTTCCCTCAATCCTCAACCAACCAACCAACCGAAGATAAAATATATAGAGAATAATCAATCCCCTCTAAAACTTACCCGAGTAGAACAGCTAATAGGAAGGTGATGACAGGAAGTGTGTTAGTTGATGCAACTGCCAACGTTGCAGATGTATAAACGGTGGCAATAGCATATAAATTCAAAGAGAGAGTAACCCTGTGGATTCAAAAACTCAAATATCAAAAGCTTTTATATTTATTTTCTATGATCAAACATGAATTATCAACTGAGCATACCCAAACAGAGAAAGCAAAAAAATCTTGCAGAAGACCACAAATGACAGTGATGGGGCTCTTTTTCTGGAAAGAAGAAGAAAACCAATTAGAAATGACATATGGCCATGGGCTAGCTCAATCTTGGATGAAACTACTATGAGTTGGAAAGAAAGAAAGAAAGAAAGAAGAAGAAGAAGAAGAAGAAGAAGAAGAAGAATTAAGTTGTTTATTACCTTTCAAAGATGACAGCCAGAGGGACTAAGAAGACAGTGGCAGAAGCCAGTCTATAGAAGACGAACACAAAGCTACTCATACCTCCATTAAATGCAGCCTTGGATAGAATATACATGCCAGCATATATCAATTGTATGAAAATGGCGACCAAATAAGGCTTCCTTCCCTCCATTGTCTACAATCCTGATACCCCTAGATAGCAAGACTGGTGAATGCAAATTCGCCTTTGAAGGTGATGATGAAATGAAAATTAGTTAAATGTATTTCTGGCTACCCTCGATCTGCAGCATCAACAATTTAGAAAAATGGCTGGCGCTGGACAGCCTTTAGTGGACACAATAGCAGTGACCACATACCTTATGCCCCAGCTTTTTTTGTTCTTTACTGCAACAGAATTATTTTATTAAATTTATAGAGGTTGTATGGTGCAGTGAGAACAATGGCTGTGGTTCTGCTTCTGGTTCTTCTAGCAGTCATCTAAACCAATGGCTGTTGTGTAAGAGGCAAATAAATATGCTTTTATATGTTCATCAAGCTTGGTTGTAATTGAGTTTTCTAAGGTCTCAAAGGAAGAGGAACCTGAGCTTAGTCTGGGCAAGAATTTTAGTCCTAAGCCAAACCTAAGGTCATAAGGAGCTAGTCTAATGACCCAAGTGAAGATACATATAGAACAAATATATGTGGGTTAGCCCAACCAGACGGAAATCCCATGGGTTAGTCTCAAATTTGGGGTCCATGTTTGTCCTTGTGCTTTGAATATTCCACTTTGTCGTAAAGTTTGTTGGTGCTTGTCTAGTAGACTTGCGTCCACTAAGTGTGGTATTCACTTAATAAGACCCACGCGTTATGAATCTCATTCACTGCCAACAAGGAAACAAAGAATAATCATGAATTGCTACAGAAGTTGGTGGATGCATAAAAAGTAGAAAGTTCGCCAAAACCTATTTTCCAAAGAAGTTCAACTCAGTAATGAATAACCACTCTTTTATTTTATATCTGGGGACTTATTTAATTAACAAAGGTTGCTTTGTCCTTGGGATAGTGGGATTTTGCAGAAAAATTAGGAGGAAACAGAATGATACCAGCTATTCAATGCTGATTATGACAAATTTTGTACAAGTGTTGTTGTGTTGTACAGCTCTGATAGAATTGCTTTTGTGTTTTTGTTTTCCTTTTTATTTAGCTTTTTGGGTGGGTGGGTGGGGGCAAGTAACCACTAATTAACCAGATGGACTTTTGTTATGGCTTCGCAGCTATACTCCCTCCTTTGCTTAGACCATGTTTGCTTGCGGTGCAAATGCACTTTTACACTGTGGAGTGTAAATGGGGACCGGATTATGTCGAGGTAAAGTGTTACATCGATAAAAATCATACTAACATTACACCGAATACTGAGGAAAAAACTTAAATTTATGATTATATTAAGACCATTACCCAAAACCTTGCAAAACTGGACTGGAGTGCAACATAACACCGGTCCAGAATTTACATCGCAAACAAACGCAGTCGTTTTATTTGGTTTGCTGGAGGGACTCAACAAATTTACTGATCGTTTTATTTGAAATTAGAGCAAAAGTAGAGCCCTAATTTGTGCCAGATTTATTATCCCTTCTTTGGAATGGAGACAGGAGGCATATGGACAAAGGAAATCACAGGTAGTGGATTGAGTTACTCAACAAAGGAAAAGGACCACATCATCCCTATCAGTGTTTTATAGTAGGCAATGCCATTTTGGAATTGGAGCAATAATAGAAGAACTCTAACTTGTGGATTGAGTTACTCCACAAAGGAAAAAGTACTATATCATCACTTCATCAGTATTATCGTCTCCTATTTCAGACTAGAACTCAAGTCATATTATAATCAATTAATTAATAAAGAAAAGAAAAGAAAACAAGCACAAAGGTTCAATACCTTATATAATAATATTGGTATGGGTTCCATTCTTATAAATAAAGTATGCCGTTTAATTATAAAGCAAATCTGATCTAATAAAGAATCTTAGCAAGAAGGCCTTGATTGTTAAACAGTAACTCATTTATCTAACAGGCAAATGTATGGTTCAAAGTATTAATACATTCTTGTGTATGTATTGGCGCTTTAAATCATTAGCTTTTTATTTTTTTTGTTTTTCAATTTTATTTTTATATCATTTAATAAATAAAGCAAAAAGGATTCCTGAAAATACCTTTAAATGGGTGTATCAGAACCCTCTTGATACGATACAAGTACTTTGAATCTAGATGAATGCATTTATGAGTGTTCTTTTGTTTCTCAAATAAAGTTATACAATGACTTTTATTCATAAAAGTATTATTATTGAAGGGACAATATTATCCCATCATGTCATGATTTATCCAAATCTTAGGAGGATATTATTTACTTAGATAAATGATCCACTCAAGAATTGTTATTTTTTATAGGGCCCACAAACACCGAAACACAAATGCAAGTTTCTTTCGACTTCAGATCTGCGCCTCACAGGAGGTGCCCCACAACGTCCCACAGCACATCGCTATTGCGTATTGAAAATATCTCCTGATGATGATATCATCATTTCTGGTGCATCGTTGGAAGATGCTCCCAATATACAGCGGGTATATGCTGTGGGAGTTGTTGTAGGGCACAGATCTGAACTCGTTTCTTCCATTAGTATCCTCCACCAGCATTTACCGGAAAACAAGTGTGCCCAAAGTTTAAGATTGGACTTTACCAACCAACCAGCTGGCACCTTATAGGCCACTCATGTTCTGCCATCAATCACTTTGCTTAATTAGAAAATAAAGAAGGATAATGATTAAAGCCACGTGGTATTGTGTGCATGCATGGATTCTCAGAATAATGAGACATGGAATAAATCTGAGTGGTAGATAGGCTGATCGTTTCCAATTCCATCCCAGCCTGGCCCAGCCCACAAATTTAGATTTGAGCTTTGTTTTGTGTTTAGACTTAGCTTAGGCCCTGACCCTCATCAGGTTGCGAAATTTTAGGACCAGGTCTGGGCTTACATTTCAGGCCTGGGTCTAGGCCGAATTGGGCCCAAATCGAACTCTAAAATTGCTGGCTTGATGCGAGCTTGGGGCCGGCCCATGATCACCCCTATCAGTAGACCTTACCAGAAGACAGACGTGCTAGTCGGGTCAAGCAAGCTGCACGGTCAGAGTCCAGATCTCCTGCCCACGTTTACCCATTTAACCAACCCTATTTCAGCCCATTTGAAAAATTCTAGCCATCCACAAAATACGGTACCTTCTTCATACATCAAGTTTTAATCTTCTATCTTCTTTCTCTTTTTCCATAGATGCTACGACCGTTCAATTTCAATACGATGTGGAGCGCTTGACATTAAGAAATATCATTCTTTTGAAAATTTGAAGTTTTGTTTTCAAATCCATTAAAAAATAAAAAAAAAAATGTATTTGTTTTTGAGAGGGATGGGCCTTTTGAGTTTGGGCTGACCTTTGACAATAGGCTCGGGATAAATTCAAGTTCGACTCAATGGGCTGGGCCTGATTTAGTTTCAATAGGAATTGATAGTGGAGAACTGTGCATAAATAATTCAAATTCTTCTTTATACTAGTAAAAGTGTACGCACATTGCACATGCCAATATCAAATGATAATGATGATAATAATCAGCAACCAAATGATCTTATTGGTTGAACCATTAACCTATTTAACCAGGAAAATTGACTATGATTAAGACATTGATGTATGTTCAACTTTTTCTTATAAAATTTATAAAAAAAATATATTTTATTTTTATTATTTAATTTATGAGATAATAAAAAATTACTTATTTACCAAGAGAAAATGCAATTCCAATATATTGCTTGAACATTGGTTTTTAATATTGTGGTCAAATCAATTATTTATATATATAGTATATATATTATTTATATATAATATATATTATTTATTACTTATTTATAAATATGTTATTTATATTGCATTTTTGTAAACTTTTTATATGATGGAAATAGTTTAAAAAATACTTATATTTTTTATTTCAACTGTTATATTTTTTTTCTTTTAATAATTTATTACTTTTTAAAAAAAATAAATTGGATCGTATCAGGTTTGAATATCTGACATCTTAAATGGATTCAAGTTTAAATCAATATTTATGAGATCCGATCGAATCTTTGTATTTGATATGATCCGATCTGATTTGCTTGCATCCCTACCAAACCATTGCCTACGATGACCTAGCTAATTAAATTATTGAACTATTTGATATGGTTAGTTGGGTCATGTGTTAGACATTAATGCTATTTATTTTTTATCCTAATTTTTATCCCATTTCTATAATTAATGAAAATAATTCTCTTTAATCATATTTTTTTTTATATAATGAATATATTATATTATAGAATGTACCCAAAATTATCAACAAATTTCTACATTTTTTAGAATTTTATGTATTTTATTATTTAATAATAACATCCATTTAACATTGATAGTTTAACCACTAACCCACCACTTGGATGGAAAAACCATTTTTCTTTTTTGGTTGATTTTAAATCACGTATTCCATTTTCATCATCGATAAAAGTAATTCTTATTTTCACATTTGTTCTTTTTTAATGTGGTGAGTATATAACAATAGAATTGTATCAAAATGCTTTATACAAAGCTTATATTGTTCTTTGAACTTATATAACATTTGTTACTTAGTTACGACATCACAAGTTAACCCATTTGACATGGATTGTTAGATCATTGGCCTACCTACCATCTAGATATGGAAATGATTTCATTTTCAAAATGGTTTTAAATTTTACATTTCATTTATATCATTGATAAAATAATTATTATTTATCATACTTATTTTTGTTTATATTATTAGTATATAATATTATAGATGTGCCCAAAATTGTTTAAATTTTTTGCTATTCTATTTTAAAACATTTATTTTTAATTACATATCATGGGTTAACCTATTTGCCCTGAAAGGTTGAACCACTAAGTTACCCCTAGATAGGAAACGTGTCTATTTTAACATAGTTATTTTTTAATATAACAAATATATAATAATAGAAATGTGTCCAATTTTTCAAAAAAAATCTTTTTTTTCTATATTTTTTATATTTCTAAATTTGTATTATTTATTTATTACATCATGAAATTATTCATTTGACCCAAATGGTTAAAATACTTACCCACAACCTAGATAGAAAATATGATTTCATTTCTAGGTTTATTTTTGAAAATATAAAATTACATTCTATTAATAATTATTGTGTATGCATTTATTAGTGAAATTTAATGATGATAAACAAAAGTATTTTTTTATATTTCTAAATTTGTATTATTTATTTATAACATCGTGAAATTATTCATTTGACCCAAATGGTTGAACTACTTGTCCATCACCTAGATGAAAAATATGATTTCATTTCTATGTTTATTTTAAAAATATAAAACTTCATTCTATTAATAATTATTGTGTATGGATTTATTAGTGAAATTTAATGATGATAAACAAAAGTATAAATGGTGGATTCAATGAGAAAGAATGTGATTTATTTAATGACTTAAATGTGAGCCTTAATGAGATGTAATTGAATGTACTTAATGGTATTCTTTTAATTACATTTTCTGCCCTTTCAATGGAAATGAACTAAATTCAAGAGGAGGGATGTTTCAGTAAAGAAAATTTCCAGAAGCCAATACCTTCTCATTCACACTTTTATAAGTAGTATAGATATAGATAAATTAATCAACCCAAAATAACAACCACAACCCTAAAAGTAAAGAAAAAAGGAAAAGGCTTTTGATCTGAAAAATAATAATTGCTTTGATTATTCAAAAACCACCTTGAATTCTCCATTGCTCTAATGTGCGCCAATTTGCTTATGTGGCCTCTTCCACCTTTAAGCAATCCTTTCCCTCTTCAATTGTGAAATCCTTATTGTCATCTGTTTGTTCCTTGCTCTTTGCCCACAAGACACTATAAAAGCCTCCAACCAACAAGATTTCGCCCAAAACACTACAAACAATAACAATGCTGCTATTTAGATTAAACAAATTATATCTATCAATTGATGCTGGCTTAAAGCTCAAATTCTTGAATTAGAGATTTCATCAATGAAATTAAACTACCTTCCCAAACTGATTAGTTCGCCTAGAAGAAAATAGGAGGAAAAGGTGGTGATGATGAGGGATACTGGGTTTGACATGGCCATGAATACAGGCCCCTTTTTCTCAATGCACCAGGTCTGCAAGTAGTAAGCAACACCAGTAACCACAATTCCCTGCAGAAAAACCATAGCTATGGATCTTCATACTTCATAGACAATAAATTCCATTTGGTTCAATAACATACCATTTCTTATTACTTCCACCCAAATCCTTTTTTGGGTTTTATTCAAAAAACAAAAAACTAAATCCATTAAAGTTTTTTGATTAATTAATGCGCATTAATTAAACTAACTTGGGTGGTTTAGTTTAATCATTAGGCCTTGGATATACTGTAACAGTGGATAATATGTAAACACAGAATTAATTTGTGAATTGGTTACAATCTTACAGAGTATGCCACGGCAAGAAGTCCGACGTCCCAATGCAGCTGCCATTGACTAGGATTTCTCTCGATACAAAAGGCAACAACCAATGACTGAATGCAGCCTAGAATGCACGTTAGAGTTGTGAATAGAAGCTTTGAAGGGTAGTCTCTCAGAATCCGATCCTATGTCCAAGTTTTCATCATTTATACATGAAGAATTGTTCTTGTATAAAATGAAGGATAAGAACAACTTAATGCAACTGAAGAAATGACTAGCTAGAGAACAGAATGATGAATACCTGGAATACAAGCCTCAAAGCCCAAGCAATATTGGCAAGGAGCAAGAGAAAACAACCTATTACCCATGTCCTGGTTGTGTGGGAAACAGATAAATCTTCCTCATTGTTGTGATGTTCCAAGAGATGAGTATTGATCAAGGGTTTCAAATATGGGCCCTTGTATATGGCAAGTGATGCACAACCAGCCATACAAAGTATGATACCTACAACTTTGGCTTTTCCTGAGAAGGTCCTCAACTTAACGGTTTCCATCCTGTATACAAATTTTTTAAATTACAAACATTGATAGAATATCAACCAATAATTAGGGTGGATCAGCTACCATTACAGGGTGTCGTACATAGGAAACATCTCTCCATGAATATTCATAACAAGGGAGATGTTCCCAATGTGGGGCTGCAGCGGCTTGTTTTTAGCATTCCATCAACTTTGGACAAGATTCTTATGTAACCGTCATATGCATGTTTAAAACTTTTTTTTTTTTCTTATTTCTTTTGAAGTGCTAAAATTAATAAAATACGAAACAAAGGAAAATTAACTGCAGATGCAAGAAATACAATGAAAATTGAAGGGAAAATAATATACAACAAAATACAGAAAATTGCATAAAACACAAAAAAGAAAAAAAAGGGAAATACAAAAAAGGAAATGTAAAAACACTAAAATTTTTTAAAACAAAAATACAAATGCAACAAGAGGTAGATAGTTAGATACTGTACTTTGAGATGCCTATTTTTGTTATTTTGATATTTTCTTCTCTTGGCCTATCAAGTGTCAAATGGGAATTTTAATAATTTTACCCTCACCATCAATCCAAGCAGGTGCAGAGTGTTGGAATAATCTGAAAGTTCACAGTGGGTTCTGGTGCCAAATGAAAGTTTGGGGGTGCTAGGTATCACTACCCCAAAGTATAGGGTGGCAATCTATAATTTACCCTAATAACCTCCAAATCTTATGAGTGAAGACAGTACCTGAGTAGAACAGCTAATAAGATGGTGATGACAGGGAGTGTGTTAGTTGTTGCAACCAACAACGTTGCAGACGTATAAACGAGTCCAATACCATATAAATTCAAAGAGAGAGTAATCCTGTGGCTCAAAAACTCAAATATCAAAAGCTCTATTTAAAAAAAAAAAAAATTCCAAGATCAAACAGAGAATCATCCATGGAAGTGATGGAGAGTATGAATATAAAATGAAGTCATACTAAGCATACCCAAACAGAGAAAGCATGAAAATCTTGCAGAAGGCCATAAAAGACAGTGATGGAGCTCTTTTTCTGAAAGATAAGAAACCCAGTAATTAGATCCCTTTGAAGGAGAAGTCTTGAGTAGATGAGCTCATGAGATCCTGGATGGACCACTATGAGGTGGAGAGACTTGAAAGAATCAAAGAAGAAAGAACTAAGTTGCTTATTACCTTTCAAAGATGACAGCTACAGGGACTAAGAAGACAGTGGCAATAGCCTGTCTATAGAAGGTGAACACAAAGCAATTCATACCTCCATTGAATGCAGCCTTTGATAGAATATAGGTGACAGCATATATCGATTGTATGAGAATGACGACCAAATAAGGCTTCTTTCCATCCATCATCTAGCTACAATCCTGATGTCTAGGAAGACTGGTGAATGCAAATTATATATTCTATGATATGCCGATGATGATGGTGAAATGAAAACTGGTGACAATAGTATAGAAAAATGATCCTTTGATAGTGGCATGGACATGACAGCAGTGGCCACGTACCCTGGACCCTAGCTTTTGTTGGGTAACTTTATTTTTTACCAAACTTATTTTATGTTTATAAAGGTTGCATGCCCCAGGCTGCATAGAGAGAATCTATCATAGAAAGAAAAAGCTTTTGGGGTCAATGGGTACTTAGATCAGTTTCTTCTAGCAGTAACTAGATGTATTGACATGTGTATATATGACTCAGTTTGGAGTGTAAAGCCTTATATTTTATATTATTTTGTATATATTTATACTATGCGTATTTATATTTGTATTCGTATTCTTTCTAAAATGAGCTTATATATTTATCGAATTCAGCTGTAATTTTGTATATATACATTATCAAGCTTGTTGGACCTGATTAATGATGCTAGGAAATCTCTGCTTTGTTACTTTTATATATGGACATTGGATTTTTACTAGGGAAGCACATGTTTTTAACTCAAAAAAGTACAATCTCCTTAAGCTTCTTCTATCCATGGATTTGTATAATGTTTTGGTTTTTATATAAGTTAGTTTAAGGATAAATAAATAAATAAAGCCTTGTTGTAATGGAGTTTTGTAAGGCCTCATAGGAAGCCAAACCTGAGCTTAATTTTAGCCTAAGCCAAAACTAGGGTCATAAGAAGCTAGTCTAGTGACCCAAATGTTTTGGTTCCATCTTTGATGTGAAATTGGATTTGATGCTCACATTGGTTCTCACAGCTATTTTTTATCTGTGTATTAAAAATATCTCCCCATAAATAAAAAAGATACAAATATGGAGATGTTCCTAATACATGACTGAAAAGGGCTGTGAGAACGGTGTGAGCACAATTTTGCCAGAACTGAATCTCCCCTCCATTGATATTGTTTGCCCTTATTACATTACATGTGGTTTGAAGAAATATCCAAGATTGGTAAGTAGATAAAGAACTCACATCAACTGAATTTTGAAAAAAACAGTGGCATGTCCCCTTTGGGGAGCAACGCCTGATGCAGCATATATAGATATACGATATATGTCAACTCATCATAGGTACAGTTCTTTGGTGCTTGTCTTCTTTATAGTACTATGTCCACTAAGTGCATTCATCTTACCAGGAATACGTTGCCACCAACAAGAAGAAGAAAAGAAAGTTAAATCATGAATTGCAGCAGAAGTGGTGGCAGCTGTTTAAATAGTACAAAGTGATCCCAAAACCTTGATACCAGTTATTCACATACGTACAATTGTTTATGCCAAATTTGTGCTACTTGGAGTGTTCTGTGGTTCCAAATGAGTTGAGTTGAGTTGTTCTTTTCTTTTTTATGGTGAAGTATTCAGATGGAATTTTGTTATGGTTTTCCAGCTATACTCCTTTTCAAAGAAATATATACGCAAATGAGACATGCAATCCAATCTCGTGTTTCGTGTTTTATCCTCCACTTAGGGCCAGCGCCATTTAGAAATAGAAAGAATAGCAAATTAACTAGAAATAGAAGAACCCTAATTTGTGTTAGAGATTGTTGCCTTCTTCGTCGGAAGGGAAGCGACACAGGGAACTCGGGTAGTGGGAATAGATGCTCGATCCACTGTCCACAGAGAGGAAAATGACCGCATCACCAGTATCGGCATGCATTCATGGATCCCACTCTAGCATTACAACTCAACTTATCTCACGTCCTCTAATTAAGAATCAAATCTAATTAGTTCAGATCATTAAATCTCATCAAGAATCCAGCTCGTTTACCAAAACAAATCTAACTAGTTCAGATCATCAACTCAAATAATACGACTACATCTCTATACTATTTTAAAATGTAGTTATCCACGTCGGACCCCTCATTTGCTTCCTAACTCTTTTAAAATATTATGATTTTTTTTTCAACTTTTAAAAATATAAAGTTAAATATGGAGCTATTACACCCACTTGGTTGTTTTTGCTCCAAAATGCTTATTTTAATTTTTTTTCTTATTTTTTAGGGCAAATTTATATCTATACTACTTTAAAAATCACAAATAGCCTCGAGAATATTTTTGCAATTTTCTAAGGACAAAATTTACCTCTTCATATTTAAATTTATTAATAAAAATAAGGGCAAATAAGATAATCAATTATTGATATTAAGTGAGTTGAAAAGAGTTAATTTTAAGATTCTCGATGCATTCAATTCTCTTTCATTAAATTCAGCATTTAGGATACATATTAACTTGCATTCACCTTTATTGAATCATATAAGGCATTTTTGTTTCTTCTCATAATTAAATTCTATTAATTAAATCCATACATAATAAATTAATAATCCCATTAACACAAAAACTTATACTTTGAAAGCCTATCTAGAAAAAAAAAAATAGTGTTTTCATATGGTCTTAAGAAATTAAAGCATTTTTTGTCATATTGCCACAATTAAATAATAAAATTCAAAAACAGATAAAGTGCAAAAAAAAAAAATAGTAACATTTTTGACATCATATATTTGGCATATTAAATAATAATAAGTATTATAAATAAGAAATATTTTTATTAATGATGGAAATGGAATATAAAATTTAAAACCAATTGGAAATAAGACTATTTTCCTATTATCTCTCATTAAATATCATATATAATGTATATTCTCTCATTAAATCCTATATTTAAGATATTTTTTCTCATCATTAAATTCTACTAATTAAATCCATAACATTAGTTTTCATAATATAAAAAAAAAATATTTTGAAAATTAATTTAAAAAAAATGATTTTCTTCCCTCCGATGTAGGTAAGCAATTCAACCATTTGGGGTCAAATGGGTTAATAAATAATTCATAATTAAATAATAAATAAAATTATAATACAAAAAAAAATGGACATATCTGAAATATTGTATATTCATTAAACTAAACAAAAATAAGTATGAAACGTAAGGAATATTTTTATTAATGATGAAAATGAAATGTCAAATTTAAAATCAAACTAGAAATGAAATGATGTCATGATCAAAAAATAAAATTTTTAAAAATAGAAAAATACAAAGAATCACAAAAATAAAAAGTAGAGAAAATTTGGTTACGTATATAATGTTATATTTTTATAAAAAAAAAATAAAATATTGGATACATCTCTAATATTATACATTCATTATTTGAACAAATAAGTATTATACATAAGAAATAATTTTATCAATTATGGAAATGTAATATAAATTTTAATTTCAATATAGAAATCAAACTATTTTCCTTTTTGAGTGGTGTGTTAGTGGTTTAGGTCAAATGGATGAATTGATGGTATAACAATAAAATAAAAACCTTTAAAAAATAAAAAATACAAGTAATCAAAAGAATATATAAAAAATTATATATTAATTATGTTAAATAAAAATTAAGTGTGATAAGCAAAAACTATTTATATAATGTAGATGAAATATATAATTTAAAACTAATATGAAATCAAAGTTATTTTCTTATCTTGATGGTGGGTCAACAATCCAACTTTTCAAAGAAATTCATGATGTCATAATTGAATAATAAATATTTAAAAAAAAAAGATAGGACACAAAACCGAAAAAGAAAATACAGAATTTTGTTGAAAACATTTGGGAACATTTCTAAATAATGTTATATATGAACCATATTAAATAAAAACAATTGTTAAAATAAAAATTATTTTTATTAAGCAATACATGCGCTTAATTACTAGTCTATAATAAACATTAATAGATAAAAGTAATACAAGTTTATCTAACAATACATAACCCTAATATAATGTTTGAGCTGGAATCAATTTGGCTTTGCCCAATTGAAAATGTCACAAGGGTCTTTCAACTTAGATATTGTTTTTAGGTTCAAGACCTTAAAATGTACTGTTGTTTAATTATAAATCAAACCGAACTGAATCTCCAAAATTAAAGAATAAATCTTACCAAAAAAACTATCTAAATGCTTCCAAGAATTACCACGTGGATAGGTGCTTTTCCATTTAGTCCACCTAAGGGTCTTATTACCCCTATGATCTCTCTAAGTTGAGGCCAAATCCATGTATTTTACTATTTTATATACATGTTCAGATGTCCCAGGCTATTTCTATAACCCTGAGGTGGGGAGTAAGTCCTATTTTTTAAGATTCTCTCATTTCGAAATTTATACATGAACCATATTTAGCTTGAGTTTGAGAATGATCCGACTCAATCCAATCCATAAAAAAATTGGATTGGGTCAGGTTGGGTCATGGGACCTGTTGATCCAATTGTCAGGTCTAATTGAAACTATTTATGTATTGTTATAAGTTTTCACCCTTTAGTCTTTATTCTTTATCGTTTACTCTTTGAATTGTTCAATGTTAAGTTTTTTATTTTATGTTGGGAATTTTAAGGTTAATTCCTTTAAGGATGACTCGAAATGACCCATGGGTCAACCCTAACCCAAACATTTTAGGGTTAAAGTCTAACATTTGCTGACCCAACCCAAAGCATCTTGACTCAACCCGAACCCGACCTACCCAACCCAATTGCCAGGTCTACTCTCACGTCCCACCAACCAGTATTTTTGAACCATTGTTCAGCCTGGAAATCGTCCAAGCAATTGATTTCATTTCACCTTCAACTCGGTCTTTGGCTAAAAGTCATTGACTTAGTCAATGACCCATTGACCTAGGCGGGCGAACCATCAACCTATTCAACCTGGACAATAATTTTTTACCATTTTTTATTTTTTAAGTTGAAATGAGCTATTTGTTTGAACCAAACGGCCAAATCACTGACCCAAAAACAAATGGCCAAAATGGTTCCGATTGCTGATCGGTTCTTAAAATGTTGCCACCAACATAACACCCATACATCCCTTTCAACTGGGCCTGGACAAGATGAGCCAATGACTTGCTAGTAAGGCTGTTTTGAGTCCGTTTGGGAGGACTGAAGTACAACGG